TTATTTCACTTATGAGTATGCCAGCCTGAGCTACATAACAAAATCCTGTCCCCTGCCTTGGGGAGGGAGTTACAAACCAAGAACCATAAACAAAAATATATGAATGATTGAGATAGATAATATAGTTAATATAAATATTCCTGAGGTGAATTTCTACAATCTTGTATCATGTTGTCTCACAAGACCATTTGTTATTAACGCCCTGTGCTGCCTTCCCAAAAGATGAATTTAAGTTCTACAATGTATACCTTTATTGCCTTTACGCATAGGATACATCCTCTTTAAGTTTTTGTCTTTTTGAGACAAGGTCTTGCCATACAGTTCAAGCTGGCCTTGAACTCCTTTTGTAGCCTAGGTTGGCCTGGAACTCAGAGCAGTCCCCCTGCCTCAGCCTCCCAAGTGCTGGGATTACAGGCATGTGCCACCATGCCTGGCTTCTCTTAGTTTTGCATATCTTTACCATATCATCACCATTCAATTGATGAATAATTTGCATCCATCACATCCCTGAGTCTCTCCTTTCATCATCTAGAACGGGAAGGAGAGTCAAAGAAGTTAAGGGGGAGCTTAGCTATATTCCCTGGGTGATAAGAGGTCTGGCTGCCTCAAGTAACAACACACTTGCTTTTCTTGACCTTTGCCCACATACTAATCAGTAGGACTTGATGTGTCTCTCTCATCATCTGTAATTCTGTGTGTAGACTGCTATTACCCACATTTTACAGATGTTTGCAAGTGTTCTAAGACCTGCCCTTGACTAAAAAGAGGCAAAGCTGAGCCTCGGTCTACTAACGCACGATTTTCTGAACTCATACAACCTTCCCTCTGACTTAGCAAATGGTAGGAAATGGGAAGTTGGTCAGTCCTAGGTGCTGAGTGAAGATTTTTGTGAAATTTCACCAGCCAGCATTTTTATACAGGAAAGCCGTTTTTACATGGCTGGAGTGTATAAATAACAGTAAGCTTTGCATAGTCAAAAAAGAAAAAAAAATTGTTTATAATTTCTTCTGAAAAAAAAAAAAAAAAAGCAGGCATGTTGGCACATGCCTGTAGTCCCAGCACTTGGAAGACAGGCAGAAGATTGCTGCAGGTTTCAGGCCAGTGTGAGCTACATGGTAAGACCCTTGCCTTTAACAGAATCTGGGGGGAGTGTTCTCATTTAGCTTATTTGTAACACAGAATTGGCTCTTAAGTAGAGTAATTCAAGGCATATAGATAGGTTGAACTTCTAGGCTGTCCTGGAAAATTCTGTTTCCTAGGGAGGTTTGTTGGGGTGAAAATTTTGTCTTCCCCGTCTTTCCTATGTGGTATGGGTTTTCCCTTCACATACATGGCCTGTACTTCTCCCAGGCATTTCCACTTTTGCTGGCCTGAGTCTCCTTCCAAACTCCCAACTAGCCTGCCCGCAGATTCATTCATCTTGGGCAGGGTTCCCCTGCTCCCGAAGGTGGTTCAGGGCTTAGCAGGTGGTCTAAGCAGCTGCTCAGCCACACTGCCTGCTGACAGCCTCACAACTTCCAGTGTGTTCTCCCTTCTAATCTGCCATCCTGATATTTAGTCTTCTCTTCCCAGAAGGCTTTTCACTCCCCTCAGTCTTCCCTAATCTTCTGGGTTTGTTTTTTTTTTTTGTTTGTTTGTTTGTTTGTTTTTTTGACCAGGGATCAAACTAATCTTCTGTTTTTTAAAACTCTTATTATATGCAGATCTAGAAATGTAGGAGAATATGGAGGCCTGGTGGGTGCCAGCCTTGCTTCCCATCAGAGAAGCTGTGTTTAAATAGAGAGTACACACTTAGGTTGGGGTGCTAGAAAGTGGGCTGTTGTGTAGGGGCTGAAAACAGTCTCCTGGGCATCCTTCAAAACTGGTTTGCCTTGGATTGGGTGTAACCCAGGAGATCTGGAATACAAGAAAGGCAATGTAGCTGGGTATGATATTGCACACCTGTAATCCCAACACTTGGGAGGATGAGGCAGGAAGAGCACTGTGAATTTGAGGCCAGCCTGGACTATATAGCAAGAGCCTGGTCTGAACAAAACAAAACAAAACAAAGAAAGGCAGTACAGCACAACAGGCTTTTTCAACTCTGAAAATGGGCAGGGACAAGGGTTCTTCCTGGGACCATCACAATGTACAGGCCTCGAGGGTTTTGGGTATCACAGGGATGAATATTTAGGGCATGGTACAGAGTCTGTTTGACAACTGCCTAGTGACCAGGTTGGTGCCCTAGGGTTCAGCTGTTGAGCTGAGTACCAATCCACCCTAGAGAGCTGCCCAGACCTCTTCTTTGACCTGAGCACTCAGTGTATTCTGGGTTAGGTTCTTTAGATATATATGATTCTTTTCATAGTTTTAGAAAAGATAAATGTTGCCTCCCTCCCAATCTGATAAAGGACTGTTACTCAGTATATGAAGAATTTAGAACTCTAGTAAGAAAACAGGGTCACTGAAGAATAGAATATGCTAGAAATCAATGAGGCAGAGCTGAGATTTTTGCGGATCAAGAACCTAGCACCAAAGTGGATCTGGAAGAGATGCAGCAGAAGATAGAGAGATATGATCTCTATATAAAATGTCATCTTGGAGACCTACCTTTAGTCTTAAAGAAAGTGGGTACTTGTGGCACTTGGGAGGCTGAGGCCAGGAAATTGTGAGTTCAAGGTCAGCCTGAGCTACATAAATGAAGGAAAAAAAAATTGAACAGCACGTGAAGATTGGGCATCACATATGAGTGCACCATATCAAGAACCCATGTTACACTTTCTTCTGTCTGCAAATCAGTGGGCCCAGAAAGGTTTAAGAGATTCTCTGAGTATAAAAATTCTGCTTACTCAGAAGAACAACAGTTAACTGGTGTTCATAGCTAAAATGTAAAACTTTTTGGGCAGTATGAAAAAGACATCTTGTGATTATAGTATGCTCTTATGCCTATGATGTTTGGCCTCCATGAATGTTGATGTATTTGTAAATAGTATTAAATGCTCCCTCTGCCCTCCCTCGCCCGCCTCTCTTTCTTTTTTCCTTTTCCCTCCAAATACTAGAGATTAAACCCAGGATCCTGGACTGGGTACTGGACTAAAACTCAGTACTTTTTATTATTTTGAGATAGGGTCTTGCCATGTTGCCCAAGCTGAACTTGAATTTGTAGTCTCCCTTCCTCAATCTCCCAGAGTGCTTAGAATTTCAGGTGTGTGCCATCACACCTAGCTTCAGTTTGTTTGTTTGTTTTAGAGACAGTGTCTCCCTATGTAGCACAGATTTGAGAGCTGCATTTACTTGAATTTACCACATGGCTCAGACTGGCCTCATTGGTGTCAATCCTCCTCCTTCACCCTGGGATTACAAGTATGTGCCCACCATGCCCTGCTTAATTATAAGGAAATAATTTGGAGTAATTATAAGGAAATAGTTTGCAGTGATGAAAACCAGGAGCTAATCTAGAAACAAAATCCAGAACCTAAACAGCAACTTCTCACAAATGAAGATTTACATAATGCCTGTAGACCCAGTTACTCTGTAAACTGAGTCAGCAGGATCATTTGAGCCCAGGTTTTCAAGGTCAACCTGGCCTGGACAACATAGTGAGATCCCATCTCTGAAAAAAACCAAAATACCACCCTTTGTTCAATCTGCAGGCGGTACCACAGATGTCAAAGAAGCACAGTAAGTTGTCGCTAGATTGCTTAGAGCCATCAAAAATTTAAACCACTGACAACTTCAGATGCTCATAACATGTAGAAGAACAGGAACTTAAATCCACATACACACCTGTACTCATAATTACCAAAACACAGAAAAACCCAGTTTGTCCTTGTGTAGGTGAATGATGAAATAAATTGTGGTACAAGCTGGCTGTGAAGGTACTGAACTGTATTATTACAGCTACTTCAGAGGCTGAGGCAGGACAGACACTTAAGTTCAAGACTTGCCTAGCTAATTTATCAATGCTGCCTCAGAATTTAAAAAGTAGGACTGGGGGGAAAAATCGGGCAGTAGATTAGCTCAGCGTGCAGCCCTGGATTCATTTAGCAATACAGTGAATGAATGAACAAACAAATGAACGAAGAAACACTGAATTGTTAAGCAAAAGAAGCCACTCGAAGAAAGCTGCTGTCTTAGTTTATCCAGACTACTATTAAAAAAAATACTACTTAGTAAAAATTTTATTTCTTACAGTTGTAGAGGCCAGAAAGTTTAAGATCAAGACACTGAACATACAGTGTCTAGGGAGCTTCTGTTTTCTGCTCATAATGCTGCCTTCTTGCTATGTCCCTCATGGGAGGGACGTGGAAGTCCTCTAGGGGCCCCTTTCATAAGGTCTGTATCTCATGATGACCACCTCATCTTCCAGTGGCCCCATGCCCTAATACTACTTTAGCGAGACTAGGTGAATGGGACTTTTATGCTGGGGTTTGAACTGAGGCCCTTGCACATGCTAGCAGGAGCTCTGCCACTGAGCTACTCAGTTTTCCTGATTATCTTTTAATGGATGAATTTGGAGAAGACACAAACATTCAGATTATAGCAACTGCAGTGTATGATCCCAGTTATCTTGTATAACTACACAAAACTCATATAATGTGCATTACCAAAAGTGAGCCCTAGCTTAAGCCATTGACTTCAAGTGGTGATGGGTTGGTGTGGGACCATGATTTACAGCAAATCTACTCATTTGATGAGGGTTGTTGATAGCGGGAGAAACTGTGCATGTGGGGGACTCTGTGCATATGGGTTATTTCTACATTTCCCTGGCAGTTTTACCGTGAACCTAAAGTCCTAAAAAATTTTCTTTTTATAGTGTAAGAATTTTGAGGACTTCAACCTCAGGCTTTCCACGTATCTTGTTCTAGAAACACTGGCTGATTGTTGGGTTGCTCTGTACATTACAGGTCTTCAGGCAATGTACCACTTGAATAAATTAATCTTTCCTGTGAATAATTAGAGTCCTCCAGTCTTGGCTGCAGATGTGTAAATGACGTCGTGTTCATTTTCTTTCTTTCCAGGACAACCCTCCATATGACAAGGGGGCCTTTAGAATTGAAATCAACTTTCCAGCAGAGTACCCATTCAAACCACCGAAGATCACGTTTAAAACAAAGATCTATCACCCAAACATTGATGAAAAAGGGCAAGTTTGCCTGCCAGTAATTAGTGCTGAGAACTGGAAGCCAGCGACCAAGACCGACCAAGGTAAGGCACTCCTCTGTCACAGTCTAGAGAAGAAAAAAATCTTACCTTACCACCTAAATTCACACAGAAGTGCTGCTGAGTTCCTACCATTCTGTGGGGATAGCCAATCTCATTTGAAATATTGACCTATACAGGTACTGAGGAGGCTTTCCTTGTTGCTTACAACCCAGTGGGACAGATAAGCCCAGAAGTTTGCTGCATGTGGGGACACTGGTCCCTAGAAGCGGTGAAGGATTGTTGGGCTGCCTGAAAGTGGAACTGGTGCTTGATGCGGGCTCCCATAGCACTTAGCACCAGAACTTAGACTTGAAGGGAAGAAGGAAATTAGTGAGGGCCTTCCAGGCTAATAATGGCTAACAATGGCTGGTTTGCAGGGAGGGAACAAGGTCAGGCTTGAGAGCTGCATTCCCAGATCAAACACATAGTTATAGTGGGTCTAGAATGCCTTGGAATTGTTTGATGTGTATGTCCAAGTGTCTGGATGAACACACAAATGTTATGTTTTTCTGGGGAAAGTATTTGATTCAGTATTGCGATTGCCCTTCCTTCTTGTCCCATGAAGATGCAAGACTGTCTTGTAGGTTGTGCCTAGTTCTTATTAATTCCAGACGTTACTTTGAAATCTTAACCTCATGTTTTTGGAGACGTTTTAATAAGAAGTAACTGAATCAGTGTAAGGTCTGTTAGAGAATGGATGACACTGGTATTGGCAAGGCCATGGGTAGTTTTTCAGTTACTAAGGTAGTCATTTTTTGGCAGAAACCCTTGAAGGTGGGAGTTGAAAGCCTTTCACAAAAAAACAAATCAGCCAGATATGGTGGCACATACCTGTAATCCTTGTACTTGGAAGGCTAAGGCAAGAGGATCAGCCTGGGCTACATAAGTGAGTTAAAGCCCAGCCTGCACACTACATAATGAGATCCTGTCTTAAAAAAGAAAAGAAATCAAGTCTTACTCCTTGGAAATAATCAACCAGGAAAGGCATTACTGGGCTCCCACAGCAGTGAAAGAACAACTCCAGTGCCTTGGCACTCGGTTGTGTAGAAACTGAGGTTTACAACAGCTTGACTGCATTCTCATTGCTCATGGCCTGGTTTTTTGTTTTTGTTTTTGTTTTTTTCTTACTTATTTATTTGGCCTGGTTTTTTTCAACATGGGAATTCAGTTCTGTGTCAGAAAGCTATGGGTATATTTGTTCAGCGGTGTCTTGTTGGTCCTTATTCCAGAGACCTTGTTGAGTGTATCTCTGTTCAACCACCATGCATGGCTAGAGAAGTCCTTCCAGACGAGGCTGCCTAGGAAAGCCACAGAACTTTCATTCGGGCTTTCAGGGTCCAAGATCTTCGCTGAAGGTGTGGGGGCCAGGGATAGGAACCTGATAGGAGAGGGATACAAGCACTTTGCCATCTCTTGTGGGAGCTGGCTGCTTAAAAGGCCATGAATTATTATTCCTATATTAGCTTCATATCTAAGTGTGTAGCACACATCCTCCACTTTTTCAAGTTAAGGCTGCCCTCCACCTACACACACAAAAAGACCCAGATAACCTAGGGGTGGCCTTCTTTCTTTTTGTAAAAGTTTAGGCTTTTTAAAAAAGGTAAAAATTTTGGTATAGGTTCTAGGCACATGGATGGCCAGGATTACTGTTTTGTAATTTGGCAGTTGAGGATTTCTTCCTAGAAGATTATTCTGTAGATATTTTATAGCATGCTCTTGATCCTATCCTGATTTTTATCAGGAAGATAGCCAGGTGTAGCGGTGCACACCTCTAAACCCAGTACTTAGGAAGCTGAAGCCGGAGTAGCTAAAGCCGGAGTACTGTTGCAAGTTCAAGACCAGCCCAAAATATACCCAAGGCCAACCTGTACTTCATAGTGAGACCCTGTCTCAAAAAAGACACACAGAAGTGGGGGAGAGGGGTGTCATTGTCCCTGGCACTTCATGCCACACTCTGATGTTTCTGTTAGCCTTTAGGGCATTATAAATCCTCTTAAAACTTAGTAGATGTCTTGGGGGTAGAACACTTGCCTAGTTGTGCAGAGCTCTGGGTTTAATTCTCAGCACTGCAAATAAATAAATTTAATAATTAGCTGGCTCTGTTGGTATAGGACCGAGGCTGAGGCAGGAAGGTTGCAGGTTTGAGCCAACAAGGGCAAGTTAGCCATTTAAGCAAAACCATCTCTCAAAAAACAAAAACTGCTATGAATGTAGCTCAGGGTCTTGGGCTTAGTCTCCCATGCCACAGACTAAAAAAAAAAAAAAAAAAAAACCAGCTTAAGTAACAACAGTTTATTAATGTTCATTCTGTAGATTGACTGGGTTTGACTTGGTAGTTGCTCCTGGGGTCACTCGTATAGCTGCATTAACCTAGGAGCGTCTCATGGGTTGAAATGTGCCAGTTCATATTGTTTACAGGTACAGCATCTAGTATTAGCCAGGCACCTCAGTTCTTGTTGTGACCTGTTTTTGTCCATGAGGCTGAACTGTGCCTCTTCACAGCATGAAGGTGAAAGAAGAAACTGCCAGGCCACTTATGGCTCAGATGCAGAACTGGTACTGTGACTCTCCTGGATTCTGTGGGTCAGGCAAGTCTAAACTCAAGAGGGAGCAGACTTTGTGTCTTGACAGGAGGTATGGCAACTCTGAAGAGGGACGTGGCGGACAAGGAAGGTGTTTACAGAGGCAGAACAGGTATCCTAAGTGATGGTGAGCACCTTCAGTGAAGTGCTTTCTAGGCATATCTGGTCCCATTCATCTGAAATCATGACTCTCCTGGATGTACTATTGCTGCCCTCACTTGTCATGTCCTTGTATGTTCAGTGTTTCTGTTTTTCTGGTCCTACTTTCTAACTGCTATTCAACCATGCTTCTACATCTTTTTAAATGCCTTGCCATTTCTCCATTCATTTCCTAAAGTCATGAAGTAATGTGCTACTTGTGCCACCCTCTTGCTTTAATCTCCTGGCCCTCTTCCAATCTTTATAGCATCTGTTCATGATTTTCTCCTGCTCTGTTCTTGGAAGCTTTAGCGTTCCATTGGTGACTCCTCTCAGGTCCAGCCTTGAAGTTTTTTGTCCTCAGTTCACAAACCATCACTCACTCCAGCCAGCTACCAGTACAGCCTTCAGTGGTCTTCAGACCAACTACTTTTCCAGTTCAGGGTTACCCTATCTATAGAATCCCAAAATAGTATTTTTGTTAGGTAGATTCAGAGAATTAAAAATGTTAAGATTGTCAACAATACAACTAAAATATACTTAGAAAATCTAAAATTAAATTAGTGGAAGAGATAGTAAGCTAAAAAACAAAATGCTCCTGTGTTACACATATATACTTAAGAGACATTAAAGCCTATGTCTGTACAAATTCTTATACACAGATGTTTGTGGCAGCTTTCTTTATAAATGTCTGTGAGTTGGTAAATGGATGCACTGAATGTGGTTTGCCCATACAATGCTGTGAAAAGATGCAGTCCAACCTTGTGGGAAAAAAAGCAGCTCCAATGAGGACTGAGGTGCTGGCTAACCACTGGGTGTATATACGTGAACGGTACTAACTGGCACATCCCAACCCTCACAAGAGTCAGTCAAGGTACAGGAATGACCCAAGGGAATTATAGTACAGCTATGAAAAGGGATGAAGTATTGATTCATGCTCAACATATACAACCTTGAAGGTTTGTTTTGTTTTGCTTGTTTTGAAACTAGAGTCTCACTCTGGCTTTAAACTCACTGTGTAACCCAGGCTGGCTTCAAACTCACGGTGACCTTTTTGCCTGCCTTGTCCTCCTGAGGGCTGGAATTGCAGGCATGTGCTACAATGCCCAGTCCAAATCTTTAAAATACTATACTAAACGAAACAGTCACAAATGACCACATATTCTGTGATTCAATTTGTAGTTGAGCCTTGTTCACATTTTGTGAATTCATCTACCTACTAAAAATTTTTGTAACCCTCAAATCAATGTGATACTTTGCAGCCAACCACAGACATGTATAAAGCAGTAAAAAAACTTTTTTTTTTTTTTTTGTACCAGGGATCAAACTCATGACCTTGCACTTGCCAGGCAGACATTTATGCCACATAGCTAAATCCCCAGCCCAGCAGTGAAAAATTTGATTGACATAATTTGAAAAATTCGGCAGCTTTCTATTTTCTTGTTTTGGCTCCCATACATAAGCATGTGATCTCTGCAGTGCTGCATTTTGCGTTTTGTGATTTAACTTTTAAAATAGCCAGCCGGGTCTAGAGATACATATATGTAATCCAGCTCTTTGGAAGGCTGAGGGAGGTGTAGTGCAAGTTCATATTCTCAACCAGACAGCTTATTGAGAATGCTGTCTCTAAATAATAAGTGAGACTGAAGATAATAGCTCAGTAGTAGAACACCCCTGGGTATGCTCCCAAGTATAGTTAAAAGGGGGAAAAAAAAAAAAAAAGCTCCTCAGATGTAGTACTAAAATGCTGTCTAATGTTCCTGAGCACAAGAAGACTATGATATATTTTATGCAGAAATCACATGTGTTAGCTAAAGTTTATTCTGGTATAAATTGCAGTACTGTGGCCATGGTTGGTGATAATGAATCAGTGTTGTATATTAAGTAAGGCTTCCTTTATTTTGTCTGTCCTTCCATTCATCTGTTTTTTTTTTTTTTTCGTTTGTTTGTTTTTATGGTAACAAAGATTTTTAAAGGTAGGAAAGCAACAGACTGCAGGGCAAGTTGAGCCAAATTAAAGTAAGAAAAGAAGGGCCGGGGATTTAGCTTGGCAGTATAAGTGCCTGCTTGGCAAACGCGAGGGTTGTGAGTTAAATTCCCGCTATCAAAAAAAAAAAAAAAAAAAAAAACAAAAACAAATAAAAGAAATACACCATACTTCTTTTGGTGGGCCACCATGCAAGAGAGAACACAGTGGCCTGTTTTTTATTTTGAGACAGTGTCTTGCCAAGTTGCCCAGGCTGATGTCAACCTTGTGATCCTTCTGTCTTGAGCCAGCTGAATAGCTGGGACTATAGGCCATCGCACCCAAGTTTAGGTGAAGTTTCTTTAAACATATATAAAACAGTTGTATATTAGTCAGCTGATGAAAATGTGGGGAGAAGAGCTGTGATCCACTGTTGTTAATTCAGTTCATGGCAAGTCTCTAGGGCAGAACTACGGCAGATAATAAGGTTCAGTTGTATATAGGATCGTTAGAATCGGCAAATCCATGCAAACAGATTAGTGATTGTCAGGATATGGGGAGGAGGGCGACAATAAGAAAGCATGCAGAAAGTTTTCTTGAGCAGTATTTGGTGTGGTTCTTTGAGGCAGGGTCTCACTAAAAGCATTGTTAGCTCAGCCTCCCAGAGTACTGGGATTAAAAGAATGTACCATGCACAGCTGTGTGCCTGCTTTATAATAGATACCTTAGTAACAAAACAAAGCTTAGTTTGGTGGTATAATGAGATTTGCTATGCAAAATACAATTGGTGACAAAGCCAGGCATGGAGGTGCATGCCTGTAGTCCAGCACTCTGGGAAGATGAGACAGGAGGATCGTAGGTTCGTGCTGAGCTTGGACAATTTAGTGACTTAATGAGACCCTATCTCAAAATGAAGGGGCTGGGGACATAGCTCAGTGCATAGATCCTAGCTTCAGCCTTCAGTACTAATTTTTAAAAGGGAAGATGAGGCCGAGGATATAGCTAAGCTGCATAAGCACCTGCCTGGCAAGCACAAGGTCCTAAATTCAGTTCCTAGTACCAAAAAATTAAACTAAATGTAGTGCTGAGTAAGGGCAGACACCTCCCAAATCCTAAAAAATTAAAGTTTAAAAAAGTAGTAATGTTCAGTATTTCAGTGACATGCACTGAAATATACCCACAGCCAACAAGCAAAAGGGAAGCCATGGAAGTGTCCTCAGAAAGCGATTGTTCTGTGGTGTGGTCATTTCCCTACTTGGATAGGAAAGAAAGGAAGCCTAAGTACTTTTCTTTAGTTCAGTTCAATTCAGTTCGGTTCAGATTTGTCTTGTCTTGTCTCCATACATAGTCTAGGCTGGCCTTGAACACGCATTTTTCCTGCCTCAGTCTCTAAATGCTTTGTACCACCACACCCTGCCAATACTTACTTTTGCCACAGCCTCATTAGGGCCTACCATTTTCATTTTCCTCTTTCTTGCCCTCCTTCACTGGGTAACATTAATAGTACGTGCTGAAGGCAGGTGCTGTTCGTGGTAGACCCTTACTTGGCATGTGTTGGTGACTAGCCATGCTTATATTATGCCCAGCTCAACCAGAGTCAGTATTTTACACCCTTCCTTGTAATGCTGGGTGAAGAGCATATGCCCCTAGTAGAGGAATTTGTGGCATTAGCAATCCAAAGAGGAATAGGTACTTTTGAGCTGGAACATAATGGTGGGAAAGATCACAGCAGTTTGAGGGTGTTGACAAGGATTAGGGGTTAGTGTGGGGAGATGCAAATGGCACTCTGCTGCTGATTCCTATCCCTGTCCTGCACTCCTGTGCCATCCTTCCCCCTAAGGATTGCCTTCCAGCTTGTCTGGGACTTCCCGCACCATGTGAAGCATCACAGCATCCCCTGAGCCTATGTGACTTCCGCCATGACAATGATAGTCCGATGCTGCCGTGGTTGTCATCCTCCCAATGGCTAGTCAAGGTGCGTCAGTGAATCTTACTCATACCTTTAGGAGCTCCTTGGGGCCCTTTAGGTTAGATTCATTGCACGTGGACAGGTACAGCTCCATCATACAACTCTTTTTTTCTCATCTTGATTAGAACTGTCCTAAACTGAATATAGTGCTGAGTGCTGGGTAAGGACACAGTAATTGTGTGTGTGTGTGCACGCATGCACCTGAGTGTGAGCAGCTGTTAGTGCAGCGCCTACTGTCACCAGAGCACCCTGGTGTTTAGGTCAGGAACACTTTCCAGAGGCCAGGGCATCACCCTGACCAGTTACCTACTTTAAAGTTGGCTGTTTGTCATCCATCCCTTTCTCCTGATTACAATATAGAAAAAAAGATAGTTGGAGTTCTGGTGGTAACAAATTTGAATTAAAAGAAAGTTGCTTTGTGTTAAAAAGCGCATTTGGCTATAAGTCACTGTTGAAGTCAGAGTTTTGCCTCTGAGATTAGCTGCCTCTTGTCCTTCCTGAATCTGTTCTAACCCTGATGCCTTGTCTTTCTCTTGGCAGTAATCCAGTCCCTCATAGCACTGGTGAATGACCCCCAGCCCGAGCACCCGCTCCGGGCTGACCTAGCTGAAGAATACTCTAAGGACCGTAAAAAATTCTGTAAGAATGCTGAAGAGTTTACAAAGAAATATGGGGAAAAGCGACCTGTGGACTAAAATCTGCCACAAATGATTCCAGCAAGTGTGAGCAGAGACCCCGAGCAGTGCATTCAGACACCCCGCAAAGCAGGACTCTGTGGAAAATTGACACGTGCCACCGCCTGGCGTTCACTTGTGGCAGTTACTAACTTTCTACAGTTTTCTTAATCAAAAGTGATCTAGTAACCTGTAAAGAAAGGATTAAAAATTTCAGATATTCTAGTTCTGCTTTCTTTGTTTTAAAAATCACCGCTTCAATCCACTTCAAAAGCATGGTGTTTCTTTTCTTGTCCAAATTTACCCAAAAATCTTAAAGTTACATAGCCCATAAGGTTAAACAAGGAAAAATAACGGTTGTGGTTCCCCTTCCTTCTGTGCCCTTGCAATTCCCACTCTCTTTGTATTCAGTATATCTTTCAGGGAACACTTCCCAGGCCCCATCTTTTCTGCAGAGGAGAAGAAATGGCTCTGATGGCTTTTCTTCTCCCATGTCACACTGCCCTGCATGGGAGTTGGATCAAATTCTATTGATGCCAGTCTGTAACTTCCTTTTTAAAAATTACAAAACAACCACTCCCCCATCCATCCACCCCCCCCAAAGAAAAAAAGAAAAGCCCTGCAAAGGGAGGCCCACCCAGCTCTTCTCTAAAAATGTGGCTTATGGGTCCACAATAATGTGGATTAAATGGGCAGGCCCTGCTGTGTTGCCTGATTGAACTGCAGCCTTACTTGGCCTATGTAGGGAAACCTTCAATGCGAGGTCTGGTGATTCCAGAGAGAGGGCTTACCAGCTGAGGACACTGCTTGTGAGACGATGATGAATTTCTCACTGGAAAGGCTCCAGAGGCCAAGATACAGCACCCTTCCTTGCAACCATGTTAGAAGATCCACTGGTCAGCACAGGCAGAACAGAAGCCAGAATATCCATTTCAAATTCCAAGCTCCTCCATCGGAATGTGCCACAGAGCTCTGCGACTCTTCTCTGCAGCAGCCCCACCATAGCCCTCCCTTGGCACGGTTCAACCTTTTGTGGGATTAGAATTGGCTGGACTCGGCTTCCTGTCTGGTGTCAGTCTTGGGTTGCTGGGGCCCCTTCTGACCTTTACTTCAGCACAGCCGGTGGCCCGGCCCAGGAGCAAGATGGCCTTCCTTTTCCCTTTGGACTCAGTCTTCGCAGAGTCAAGCTCCACTTGAAGCTCACTCAGTAATACCTTTCAATGTGTTTTATATTGTTTTGATTGCCTTTTTTGTAGAAATAAAAATTGACCTTAGAATTTATCATCATATGAACTTTGTAAGGATTTGAATGTTGATGTCTTTCAAGGCAAATGGGATTATCCCTAAAATGGTAAGAAAATGCATGACACTCTGAGGAAGCTGATCAAACACCATGTGTCACCAACCTCTGCCACTGTCAGCTTCCATTCTTGGCTACTAGGGGGACTAGATCTCATGAAGATGACTTCAACAAACTTTGCTGTTTTTTCACTTTAGCTCCGTAATTTCATCTCTCCAGGGTTTTACAGACATACAAGGTAACCCTGGGTTTTGCCTGTGTGGAAGTGTGAAGTGATGGGTAGTGTAGGTGCATAACACTTTGGTTGTGCAGGCGCGTGGCTCCTACAGTGTATAAATGAACTCAGCTGCTTTAATTCTAGGTTTGTAAGGGGCAAGTTTCTGGAGACTCTGTGCCTAGGATGCCAAGAGCACAGGGCAAGTATTTCCTCATCTGTCTCTTCATCAGCAGAAAGGTAATAATGGATTTTATTTCACTCACACTCAGATTTGTAAGAAAATGCCAAATTCTGTCAAGCTATCCAAACAAGCCACCGTTTGTTCTTGTTAAGTCCAGGAAGAATTGTCTTTCTTGAAAACTGTCCCGTTGCTTCGTATTTCTGCCAGCATAGCTTTGCCTGCCTGTCATTCCCTCACTGCTCTCTGCTCACCATGGGAGGGTACCCTAATGCCAGCAGCACCTCTCAGGGACTCTTAGTCCTGTCACTGGCACCCCATGGTCTGCCCTGGCAGCAAAGACCTGGCTCTCAAGTCAGTGGGTGTCCCTCCCTCGGCCTGGGTGACTCGCTCCTTTCAGCTATGCCCCTGGGGCAGTCTTTGAGCAAGCTGACAGCCAGCTCTGGCTGCTGTGAAACCAAAAAGCTGAATCCTCTGGAGAAGGGCAGAGCTGTGAAGCAGCTACCCACTGCTGACCTGCACTGGCTCAGGAATTCACAGCCACCTGGTTCCTTGAAGTGCCCAGGGTCCTCTTCCTGCCCTTCCACAATGGCGGAGAATAGGCTTTCTAAGATGCTGCGATCCCGTTCTGCTGCCCTTAATAAAAATGCTCTCCAACACTGGTTTGGTTGTGTGAATTTCTTTTTTAGGGGTGAGTAGTGCCAGGGGCTTGTGTTCTTTGAGACTAGGAGATGTGGCTGGGGCATCCGCTTTCTCCCCATTGTAGCCTCTCCAGAAGAGGCACACAAAAGTGCTCTACTTCCTGAAAGGAGTTAGGGTATAATCAGTGCTGGGAACACCAAAGTGCAGGCTATCAGGGTTTGTGGGACCAGTGAATGTCTGGTAAGGGAACAATAATTTCCACACATGGAGTGATGTTATGATCCATGTTTAGTAGAGGTGAAAACAGGCCCTTAATAAAAATGCTCTCCAACACTGGAGAAGGGAGTCTTGAACAAGGTCCTGGGACTAATGAGGGTGTGGTTGGGCCATTTCCCTGAGTGGTTCTAGCTAGAGGCCAGACCTAAGCACACTTCAAACAACTTCCAAGGCACTGTAGCAGTAGTGCTGATCCAGCCCTATATTTGTGGTGGGGTCTGCAGCTCTCAGAGGGAAGCTCCTTGGGGTATCATTTTGCCATCTGCACAGTGCTATACCTTCCAGGTCCCAAGGATCTCAAGGCAGCCTGTGAGAATCTTATCTCTGCTTTCAAGGAGGAGACAGGCTCTGGGTGATAGGCACCTGGATGTTTTTACGCTTAGTCTGAGCCTGCCTGTTGCATCCTGCCAGTCAGCACACTTCTGACTCTTAGAAGGTTCCCAAGAGCCAGGTACAATAATGCACACCTGTAAGCCCCACCACTCCTGGAAGATTTTAAAACAGACTTAAAAACAGGGTTGGACATAGTAAATATACCTATAATTCCAGCACTCAGGAGTTTGAGGCAGGAGGATCACAATGAGTTTAAGGCCAACTTGAATTACACAGCAAGATGCCCTCCCCACACACAAAAACAATGTCTGCATCCCTCTCACCCGTGTGCCACCAGTGGCCAAACCAACATCACCTCTTCCCCTCCCCTCTTGTGCTCCTCTTCCAAAGTAACCTTCAGTCACCTATTTGTATCAGTCTGGCCAAACTGCCTCTCTCCCTCCTCCTTCCCCTTCCTCTTTTTTTTTTTGTGTGTGTGTGTCTTTTTTTAGACAGGGTCTTGCTATCTAGTTTGGGCTGACCTTGAGTATACTTTGTAGCCCAAGCTGATCTCAGACTTTATAAAAGGTCCTCCTGCCTCAGCCTCTCTGCGAGAATTACAGGCACGTGTTGCCACTTCTGGTCACTTCACTAATATTTTCAACTTCCATCTCTTCGTATCCCCCCCCCCCCTTCCTGAGCAGCATTAGCCCTCATAGTACCCATTCCTTTGTCCCAAACAAAAGAGCTGCGTAATCAGCTGGCTGTTCCTGCTTCTGAACACTCCATAGCAGAAAGGACCCTTCTGACAGCTGCCAGAGTCAACAGGCTGCCTGTGGGCCATTCTGCTTGCCAGCCCCACATAGCCCCCATCCTGCAGGACTGGCCAGACTACAGGGGCCCAAGGCTAGGAGCTAAAGGCTGGCAGCAGGCAGGTCTAAACTCATGGTGACTTCTGTTCACAACCGTGAAAGAAAGGAAGTAGAAAAGGTACTATGGCTGTCAAAGTCAAGGTTAGGATGCAAGATAACAACAGAAAAGAGGAAGCTGAAACTATAGCCAAAGGGATAGGTGTGGACCAGTGAAGTCAGAAAAGAAAAACAAGATCCCACATTGAAAGCTATGTGTCCCTGTAGACTGCCTGAGCTGGGTGAGAGCTCTCTATGCACTTGCTTGTGTGACTGACATAGGCCAGAGCCCAGTGCACATTAAGTGAATGAACGAAAGCTCCAAGGCCTTGCTCAGCCAGTGCCATCTCTAGGCCTGTAAATCAAGGGCACATGGCATTAAATGAGACAAGAACCAGGTGATAGTCATCTTTCCTTTCCTCTGGAGCAGGCACATGAACTCTGCTCAGATGCCCTATGTACTTCTCCCTCTGCTCCCTGCACCTAAGGGCTATTCATCCAAGTGACATGGAATCCTGTCTAGAGGCATCCAGATACCAGCAGGCTCCAGAATTTCACAGAATTCCCTTGCTGGGAAAATTTAAACACTCCCTCAAGGTGACGACCTACTCAGACTTGTCACCTAGAATAGCTTACTTAGAACAAGTATTTTTAAATAAAAATAGAGCTTTGCTAGGTACCATGCTGGTACCAGTAGTCCTAGTTACTGGGGAGCCTGAGGTGAGAGAATCACTTGAGCCAAGGAGTTTTGAGACCAACCTGGGTAACACAGTAAAATTCTCTCCAAAACCAAAAAACAAAGATGTGGTGGTGCATGCCTATAAAACCAGCACTCAGGAGGCTAAGGCAAGAGAATTGCCAAAAGTTGGGGCCAGTTTGGGCTATTCAGTGTGTTTTCCAGGTTGGCCTGGAATACCTAAATAAGACTTTGTTTAATCCCACCCAACACAAAAATATAAGCATGAACAAAGTCAAAACCCAAGAGCATGTTTTGCATATCTTTTCTAGGGTATTGATGAGCTGAGTCACCAATAAGTGGCTGTCTCCAATTAAGATTTGCTGGGAACTGTTTATAAACCACTCAAGTCTGCAAGGCTTATACTCTTTTATTTACACAACAATCTCTGCCCACTGTCATGGAACAATTAGGTGTTCACATTGCAACAAGAATTGATACCCAACACTTTGCAGGCCCTAGACCTTGATGTCACAAGGCTGGGTCTGCCTACATGCAAACTATGGTTGCCACACTGAGCCATGAAAACTTGGCCACAGAGCTGGCAGTATATCACACTGGGAAGTCATGGACCTTACTCCAAGGCCTGGTTCTAGACTGCACCTGACCATCATCTTTCCCTTTCCTCCACATTAAGAAGCATTAGTGCTTAGGGTAGAGAAAGGTCCAGGAAAGATTCCAGAGTGGGCTCTCAAGAGACTCCTTCTTCTGGCCTCTTGGACTCCAGGTCCTCAAGGGCACAGAGTTGCACCCCGTCCTGGGCCAGCCTTGCCCGCAGGGTAGGTGCTGTGAGGACACAAAGTTCATGCAATCTCTCCCAAGAGCAAGAGAAAGCATCAGGACCCTCACCACAGCCGCCGGCTGGGGGCACACTGGGGTAACCTGGGTGTGTCATCAGCTCAACTGACAAGGTATGGCCTGTGGGGTTATCTTCCAGGGCCCGTGCTACGGCCCCCAACACACGGTGAGCAGTCATGTACCGCCCACAGGTGCTCAAACCCACGAAGGCATCTGTCCACCTGGAAATCGGAGGCAATAATGGCAGAGCTGCAGGATCAGCAAGATTGGGCAGGGGTGAAACAGGACGAAAAGAGGCCAGTGGGTTCTTTCCCAGGTTAGGAGAAAGTTGCCCAGGTACATGCACTAGGACCTGCAGGATCAAGGGATGGTTGGGGCAGCAGGGCTGGAGTCTGCTCACCGCAAGCCATGACGAGAGAAGTGGTCCATGGCGGCCCGAGCATCACACTCCACAGTACAGGCGAAAGCACGCGCGGGGGCTTCCAGCCACGCGCAACGGCCTATCCCGCCTTCCAGCGGCAGTCGAGTGAAGCGCACCCCACATGCCTGCAGCACCTCAGCGAACACTTGGCACACACCTGCGGGTGGAGAGGGCTCGAGGAGGGCCTGATGCCATTGCTCGGTGTATTGGCCTCCTCCTACCTCCTAGAAGCAGGTTCCCAGCCTGGAAGAGCCAGCCCACGCACCTGGGAGCACGTGCACGTGCTGATGCCCGTCCACGTGCGTGGGGGGTCTGCCAAGCAACTCCCTGAAGCGACTTAGTTGAGCCTCCAGCTCCTCCCGCACCTGGAGCCAGAGGTAGAGGGGCAAGGAACTTGAACTTCCGGGGCGATCATAGCGGAGAACGCCTTACTTGTGCCACCATGTGGCTGCTCCAGTGTCTCGCTCCTGCCTGCCCCTGATGACATCCCTTGCCGGGGTCCTCAGGGTTGAGCTCTGAGGTTAGTGCAACCACCCCTTTTAACCCATGCCCTCGCACCTGAGACAGCGCCACTTGTCCTGCCGCCACCGCCTCCCGGAACCCCATCTTGCCGAGAAAGAAGCCTTCAGGACTGAGCAACGACGAGGTGCCATGACCGGCAGGGCCCACGGGACGACCCTCGGAAAGGTTGGCGTGGAGACCGGTGGGGATGCTGTGCCTGCAGGCGGAGAGAGGGCGGGAGCACAGGTGGCGCGGGGAAGAGGTGTCCCCATACCCGCCCGGACTAATGAGTGCCGTCCTCACCTGCGAGCTAGTTCTGCCGCACTCTCCGCGGTCGCGCCATTCACCAGGAGGGACACGCTGGTCACGGTCCCTGCCAGGAAGGCCTCCACGATGCCTTCATCACGCCGCGGGCAGTAACCAAAGTCATCTGCGGTGACCACCAACCGTACACGGGGCCAGGCCATGGCGCCCTGGAACCCTAGCGCACCATCACAGGGGAGTGGGCCAGACAGTCGGGCCCAGCTCCGGCGCACAAACTCAGACGCGGCCTCACGTCGCCTTTGTTCTCGCCACCTAGTGGTTCCTGAGGGACCCTGCGACAGCTGCTCCGCTCTACCATCCCCACAGCTTCATTTACAGCAACCTGGAAATGTCCTTGACTTCAAAAGTGGCATTTGAAAAGTGATATATATAAAAAAAAAACCTAGGAGGAGGAAAAAGAAAGAAAAAGAAAAAGGATAAGGAAAAAGGGAAAAAATCCCTTTATTATTTCTGAGGTCACCCTGTTATCTTTCTGGGTCATGGCATTCAGGTTTTTGGGGGTTTTTTGAGAGTCTCCCTATAGGCTCCAGGAAGGCCTGGAATTTATGCTCAGCCTTCTGAGTTCTGTGATCAAGGGTACACCATCACTTCTGGATTTCTTTTGATAATAGTGTCTGTGAATTTGTTGGGTTGGTATTTTTTTTGTTTTGTTTTGTTTGCTTGTTTTGTTTTGTTTTGGTTTTTTTGAACTCATGACTATGTGCTTACCAGGCAGATGCTTACACCACTGAGCTAAATCCCTGGCTTCAGGGCTGGGTTTTTTTTAAAAAATGCTATTAGCTGATTTTACTTCTTTTTCAAGCTGTCAATTTTCTGATTTTTCTAAGAGAAGCCTTTTTCTTACTAAAAGCTCTAGACAAAAAACCAATAGCTTTGAGGGAGCATTAGTCCCTATTTCCATCTCAAACTCTGTGTGAGGGTACAACTTTTACATTTATAGTCTCACTTTTATTCTTTTCAGAAAAGGTGGTAAACATAGTGACAGCCAGTTTTTACTATAATGTGACCATCTTGATTTTCTCTGTGGAAAGTGTGGTATTTGTGTCCAACCTATGAGGCTGGTAATGTCATTTCTGTTTTACAGGTAAGGAAACAATGTTAGAAAGTGGAGTGTAGTCTGCCAAGAATAGTGTACTGATCCCTGAAACTCTGGGCCTATGCCCAGCTCTTCTCCGGTCCTCTGGGCCCTGTTTACCCACTTAGGTCAGGGGCATAGTAGAGCTTGAAAATAAATACCTCATATGGGGCCTTGTAAGGATTGGAAACCTCAAAGAGCTGTTCAGCTTAGCTCTTGGTGTAGAGACACAGGCACAGAGGCACTCGGCATAGAGGTACTGGCAACGTTAAAGATTAGAGGTAACTGCCTTAGTTCCTGTCCCCAAAGGAGCATCATCTGGTAGAAAAATGAGTAACAACATTGTGTGGCGGGGCTAGGGATTTAGCTCAGCGGCATAAGAGTCTGCCTTACAAGCAGGCAGTCGTGAGTTCGATCCCTGGTACCGATAAAAAGGAAAAAGACAAAAAAAAACAAACAAACAAACAAAAAAAACATTGTGTGGCAGTCTGGAATGGGGTTTGCGTATAAATACACATGGAACTTTGGGATTGATTGTATTGTATGATCTTATATAATCCCTGTACTCTTACACAGAAAGACAATACCGCATCCGCCTCCTTTCTCCCAATTTAGACAGGAGTCCGTGATCAGAGAGGTATATTCACATCCACAGGAAACTGTGGAGCCAGGAATAGGAGCTAGGTCTGTGACAGACCTGGCACTCTCCACTGTTCTCAGGGAGACTGCAAGAAGCCCAGAACAGATGCCAGGATTGTCCACACTGAGCAAGGGAAGAGGTCCCTGGAAGGTAGAGCAGGCCAGGACTGTGTAATAACCGGTGAGAAAAGCGTTTGTATCACCGGTAGCAGTCATGGCTTTTGCTCTTAGCCCCGCCCCCCCCCCCCGAGCAGATGAGAATCATGGATCCAAACCCCAACTTCAGAGCTCTTTATGGTTGGAAAGAAACTGAATAGCAACAATTCCAGACCTTAGGCTCCCAACAAAAGTGAGAAGAGATTCAGCCTCGCGATGTGGGGGCGGAGCCAACTCAGGCCCCTCCCCAACCATTGTCTCGCGGAAGCCAATGAGCGAAACGCTCGCTACTAACCAATCGGGACGCGATATGTAAATGAACAAGCGGTAAACCGCGGGGAGACTACAGCGCTCTGTGAAGCGTCTCTGGAGTGGGCGCTGGTGGATCTGGGAGGGGACTCTTGTGAACTGTTCGGTCCTGAGCCGAGGGCGGACCACAAGGTGCTCTGGGTCTGGGAGGAAGGATCGTATACACTTACAAACTAGAGAGGGTCAGATACAGTGCGGACGTCCTAGGGGAGCCCCCATCCGGACGACACTGGAATGGGACAGTGTGCTAACGCCTGGGAGACTCCTAGCAGAGGAAGGGCTAGATGCCTGAAAGACACAAGGTGCGTGAAGCGAGGGGCCCGCGGACCCTAGAGTCACTGACACAGTGGGGGACTTAGACCCTCCTGTCCCTCACTCTCTCCGCCCGCCCGGAGCAGAGAGCAGTCCGCTGCGGTGCCATAGAACTGAAGAGAGAGGAGGCAAGCAGCTGCCCTGGTTACTGGAACCATGGCCGGCTGCCGCCACCACTCGGGATATCTTGCAGATGACGAGGCTGGCCACAGCACATACAAGGCGCGGGTAAGTGTGCCCAGCAGGGCTCAGACCCTGATACCCCAGAACCACCGTGTTCCTCGCCTCTTTTTCTATTAACCTCCTGACCAAGAGATCCTTATAATCACCTTGACCTCTCCTATGACCTCCTTCTGGGCCTTGATCATCCTCTTTCCGTGTATCCCCCTGACTCCAGCAACTCGGAAAGAACTTGGGTGGACAAGGAACCCAGCCATGGGTAACTCAGAGTTCAGAACCTCAGGTGTTCTCTGCAGCACAGCAGTGCAGACAGGGCAGGCCAGAGGAGCAAAAGAGAAACTCAAGGTTTCACTCATGTCACAGTGACTTTCACACTCCCTGGCTAGGTCTTATGCTTGTGAAATGTATGTGCTGTAGATACTGCAAGGCAAGCGTAAATACATTTCCACTTTCCAGATGAGGAAATTGGACCTAAAGAGGGGCCATTGTTGGGGTCTGGGGATTTAGCTCAGCGGCATAGCACCTGCCTTGCAAGCAGGCGGTCGTGAGTTCGATCCCTGGTACCGATAAAAATGAAAAAGACAAAAAAAAAAAAAAAGAGGGGCCATTGTGGGCAGTCACATAACCTGAAGGTGGCAGAGTCAAGGTCCACACACAAAATTACATTTTTTAGGACAGTCTTGCTAGTAGATCAGGCTGGCCTTCAGTTCACTGCACAGCCCAGATTGGCCTGGAATTTGCAGCAGTCCTCCTACTTCAGTCTCCCTAATGTGCCACCATGCCCCACTGAAAATTTGGCTCCAAAAATAAGATTGTTTTTTGAGATAAGATCTCACTATGTAGTTCAGGGTGACCTTGAACTCACAATGTAACCCAGGATGTATGTGAATTTGCAGTGATCCTCTTGCCTCAGCCTCCTGAGTGCTGGAATTACAGGAATGCATCACCACACCTCAGCAAAATTACCTGATTCTTTTTTTTTTTTAATTACCTGATTCTAAATGCAATTCCCAGGCTGAGATCTGAGATGTAGCTCAGTAGTAGAACTTGCCTAGCATGCTCAAAACTCTGGGTTCCACCAATATATATATATATATATATATATATATATAGAGAGAGAGAGAGAGAGAGAGAGAGGAGAGAGAGAGATTTTCCTTCCACTGCTCAGTCGCCACCCAGCTCCTAATGGCATACCTAGGAGAATCCCAGTGACCCCATTCCTGCAAGGTATTCTACCCACTGTGACAAGCCTGTTTGTTCAGGTACCACCACGCAAGAAGCCACTGCTGCCAGAAATGAGACCAGCCTTCAAGCTGGGTCATGTGCCACACCCTCCAGCGATGGATGGCAGTTCAGCATACCAGGGACACTGCCAAACCCCTAAGAGACCTCAGCCTTTTGGCAGCTTCCTAGATTTTCTGACAGAAGGACAGGTAATGGAAAGCCTGCAGACAGTGGTGGAAGAGGCAGCCGAACGCATAGCCTCCATGAAGACAGAGGCTGGGGTGCCACTAGTGGAGGTACAGGACTTCATAGAAGTGCCAAGTGGGAAGCGACAGGTGCGCGCCCGACCCAGCTTCAGCACTGTAAAGCGGCACCGTATTCGACCCAGCCTCTGCACTGGACGTCCCAATAATTACCCATCCTGCTCCAGCTCTCTATCTGACTCCCATAGCAGCCTCACAGCTGGCCAGGATGGTGATCTAGGTCCCCAAGGCTTAGGTTCACTACCACCCATGAGAGACAAACTTTTGCTGGAGAAAAACCTCAAGCGGCTGCTACAGCTGGAGAACAAAGGGGTGAGATCTGGGACGATGGTATAGGGGAGTGTGGAGAGGGTGGACCTGAGCCCCTCATCCTGATCAACCTCTCTGAGCCTCCCTCTCTCTCTACAGAAAGGCTGGAGTCAGTCCTGTTCCAAGAGGAACTCCCTATTGTTGAACTCACTGGGCAGCCAGACTGGCAGCCACTGGACCCAGGAGCAGCCCCTGTCCTGGTTTTCAGGGCTGCTGGGCTCCACTTCAGGAATGCCTGATGCATCAGAACTGGGACCTAGAGAACAGGAGCTGATTTTCCTCAAAGGAAAGTGCAATAAGGAAAAGAAGTCCTTGCTGAGCCAGCCAACATCCTTTGATCTGCCTGGCTACTGCATTCTCCGTGAGCCCCATCAAACGCTGGACTTCCTGGCCAAACATCATCTCTTCCCTGCTCTGCAGAGTGTGATCAGCCAGGGTGCAAACAAGCTGAGGGCCGCCCGCTGCCGTGATGGCTGCCCTCTCTTCCCCACCAAGCCTGCCTCACCATTCCCAGTTAACTACAGTCAGGGGCTGCCAGACTCCAAGCCAGCCGAGGGGAAGGAGCCCTGTGATTCTTTCCACACCACAGATGCCAGCCTTCATGGAAAAATCAGTAGACTGAACTCGCCTTCTGTGTCTAATCAAGTGGGCAACAGAGTCAAGCTCAAGGTGACAACCACAGAAAAATACAATATCCATAGTCCCTTATTGCACTCCAAACACAAGGCATCTGGCTCAAATTTCAGAAAACACCTATGGCCCTAGCTCCAGCCAGAGGACCCAGCCTAAGCATGGCCTACTCCTTACCCAGCCTGCCTCTGGGGCCATGGTGGAGGTAGCCTCCAGACAGGAATGCCTCAAGCGTCCAGCCTGGTACCCACTCACCTGTCCCTACCCTCCTTTTCTTTCTCCCTATATACTCCTTATTCACCCCATTTATAAGGAGCTTCTCACTGTGTCCAGAAGTGCCTTGTCAAGAGAGGGGCTAGCGGGCTTTGGGACAAGTTTGCAGGAGAATGTCTCCTTCACCCACCACTCCTAGCAGCCAGTATCATTGGCAATCACTATGGACATCTCCTGGGCAAGGTAAACTACTGGAAGACCAGAAATCCTTGTCTAGCTACTTCAAGGTATTGTCAAAAATGAATAAAGGCTATTTTTTTTTTAAATCACAGGCATTTTCTTCAACATTTTATGTGTATCTTGGAGCCCTTCTCACACAAGGAAGCTTCTGTTCCTTGTGGACAGCAGCCTTTGTCCAGGGGGGGTCCTATCTCCTAGGGGTGAGTCCCTTTAATTCAGCTGAAGGACACTCAGATCTCTCCACCCTGCTGAAGGGGATTTGCCCAGGAAGGGTATAGAGATTTAGGTGGCCTATTCTGATAGGTCCCCAACAACCTCCCAACCTTCCCTCTGTCGTGTAGGCCCAACATGCTTCCCTCTGAACACAGGCCTGGGTATTGTTGAGGCTCAAGTTTGCTGACACAAAGGTCCATGACTTTGCCCCCAGGCCTGACTGAGCAGGCAGGTGAAGTGAGCATGAGGGTTAGCTGTTGAGTGTGACAGCATGTCAAATATGACAGGGCTGTACCTTTTGTGTGACAAGCATGGTTTCTGTTGGACAGGGCTAGCAAGACTGCCAAGGAGTGTGGGCAGATGTAAGTGTCATAGAGCAGCAGGAGGGGCAAACTGGCAGGGATGACATGTCTGCTTTTTCTCCCCTGGCTGCCACACAGAACTCCAACACAAAGAAGCCATCGTCTTCCACCTCGCCCAAATCCAGTATGTCCCACCTCTCCAACCCCTGTGTTGAGGAGATCATCAACTACTTAGTGGACCAGGCAGTGTCCTTGCTCACTCTCAAGTACAAGTATGAGAACAGCCTCAATAAACAGCTTGGCTTCGTCTCCTTCCCCATCACTGAGGCTCTCGTGGACCTCTTCCTGGGCTTCAAGAAGGTGAAGGGCTCCCACATACAGTTGTCCTCGGAGATGAACTGGAATTGCCTGCTGCACAAATTGCAGCAGGCTGAGCAGGCGCTTCAGGCCTCAAGGCAGGCCTCCCAGGCACGCGGCCAGGCACACAGCTCCCAGAGCAGCAGCAACATCTCGAAGCCTGGATCCCGCCAGCTGGTTGTCTCCCAGCACAGCACAATGTCTCCATCCAGTCAGCCTGTGCCACCAACCAGAAGTAACCAGAACCAGGCCGTAGAGCCTGACGCGTCAATCCACCAGCTGCTCAGCTCTTGGGAGCCTATTACAGCTGAGACGCCGTCCCCCAAAAGCCTGTCACAACCCAGACCCTTTGGGTCCCCTGACCTGGGCACGGGCTCCATTCTCTCCAAGTCTGATGCGATGATGAACATTGAGGCCAATGAAGCTGGGAACAAAGGTAACAGGGAGAACAAAGAGGAGGGCATGGATTCCTACAAGGATGAGAGCAACTACGAGGACCACCTGGAGCCTGAACTAGAGGCCATGAGCAGGCACTCTGTGGACACAGGCCACGATGACCCCCCATGAAATTCCCATAAGCCAAACTGAGTACTGCATTCCCCCTTCTCCACCTGGTCCTTAGTGGCTGCCCACCTAGCCAGCCACTACTCTGAGCAGGGTCAGGATGGGCTGAATGTCCATGAGGACCTCTGCTAACACTTGCAGGGGCACCAATGAGAGGAACAGAAATAAAACATCTGTAAATGGAACACAGTCGTCTTGTCCTGAGACTGCAGCTTGCCTCTGTTGAGTGTGACAGCATGTCAAATGTGACAGGGCTGTACCTTTTGTGTGACAAGCATGGTTTCTGCCAAAGAGTGTGGGCAGATGTAAGTGTCATAGGGCAGCGGGAGGGACAAACTGACAGGGATGACATGTCTGCTTTTACCCTTGCACTTACCAGTGTGGGCCACCCTGATGGCAGCCAGCCTTCTTGACAGCTGGCAGTGCTCTGACCCCAGGACCCTCCTGCCAGGCAGGAGTGGCAGATTTCTCTTGCATTATCAGCTGCTTTGCTACTTTCTGCCTGATCTTTTCTCTAATCTGTAAGTTTTCTTTCTTTTTAAGACACTTAGGGCTCCTTGTCTCCTTTCTCTTGTGGCTCTTGCTTTTGGAGGGAACTTCCTCCACTAGGGGTGGCTCCTCTTTTTTTTTTTCTTGAGACAGTCTTGCTAGGTTACTCAGACTTGGCTCAAACTTGCCATCTTCCTGCCTCAGCTTCCCAGAGTGCTAGCATTACAGGTATATGCTACCACACTTTTCTTTCCTTCTTGTTTTGTCATGTTACTGTCTCACATTACAACCGAGGAAGCATGTAGCCACCTTCCTGATACTTTCAGTTAATTTTCTTCCTAATTTGTTTTTCTCAGGTCCAACTCAAGAACCTGGAGTTGCCATTCCAGGGCACACAGCCACTGCCAGTTGGTCAGGCTGTGGAATGGCTGCATAGGGCTGACAATGGAACTAACTTTCCAGCAAGGGTTCTAGCTAGGATGAGCCTCTCTAGAAAGGTCTGTGACTGTGGCATCCTGTTTTCTCTTTTTGTAAATTTCTCCCAGGACACAGCTCACCCTCTCCCCTAGCTGCTCTTGTGGCCAGGCCTCAGAAGCAGACAAGAGAACTTGAGAAAACTTTGCCATTGGGGGGTAGAGAGGGAACTTGGTGGCTCTGTCTCACTTCTTCCTGGAGTCCACCCCAGTGCACAGAGGCCAGGCCTACTTGGCTAAGATTGACCATGCTACAGCCCACTGACCCTGTATAAGACACAACCACTCTAAGGCCCCCCTGGAGCCAAGTAGAGGTTGGACACCTGTCACACCCACACTCACTCAGATTTCTTTTTCTTTTTTTTTTTTTTTTTTTGTCTTTTTCTTTTTTATTGGTACCAGGGATCGAACTCACCACCGCCTGCTTGCAAGGCAGGTGCTTATGCCGCTGAGCTAAATCCCCAGCCCCACTCACTCAGATTTCAATTCAGTGGGACCAAGGTTTTAAGGTGGGTTAGTCAGTGTCATATTTTTTTTTCCACAGAGCTCTTATGGCAGAGATCTTTATTTACTTAATTTTTTTGAGACAGGGTCTCACAACATACAGGCTGGCCTTGAATTCACTGTGTAGTCCAGGATGGCCTCAAACTCACAGTGATCCACCTGCTTTCGCCTCCTGAGTGCTAGGATTACAGGCATGAGCCACCATACTCACATGGCAGGGATCTTTTAGAGCATGCACTTGACACAAAATGGCCATTCTCTGAGTCTACCTACCACCCCCTCCACAGCCCTTGTGATATCTGCATGCCTTAATACCTGCCCACAGGTTCTAGAACCTATTCCAAGCTAGGCTGATTGGTGCTTTCCGAGAAGCCTGCAATTGGGATGAATTGAGAGATTCTGGTTATTAGCACCAATTGCTGAAGACAAACATGGGCGGTGCAGAGTAGCTGTCTACCCATCTCAAGGCAAGAAATCTTGTCAGTAGAAAATAAAAGAGAAGCCCTCGTAGCTGGGAATTTAATTTAGCAGCAAAGTGCCTGCCTCACAAGTACAAGAGTCCTAGGTTCAATCCCACAAAAAAATTGCAAAGAGACAACCAATACCACAAAAAAAAATTGCAAAGAGACAACCCTCAAGGGCTAAGAGACAGACCTTTTCTGTGATTTACACTAGCTTTCCAGGTGCCACTGTCATATCAAGGAAGAGGAGAACACGGGCTCAATCCTGTCTCATGAGTGACTGGAACAGCCCCTGTGAAAACAGGGACATCTTGTACTAAAGGCATACATCTGAAATCTTATTTCAGCTATCTCTTGCTGTGTGTAAAACACCCCAAGGCTTAAAAAAAATCACTTATGATACCAGGGTTGATAGGCTTAGCTGAGTAGTAGTATAGGCCAAAGTTGTCAATGTGACTGCTTTCAGCTGGGAATGGGCTAAATCAGGAATGATCCTAATGTGCCCTCACCCTCCAGTTTCTCTCCACACAATCTTTCACCATGCAGTAATCTTACCTGCACTTCCATATGGCAGGACAATGTCATGATTGGCTTCCTAGGAATTCTCATGGCTAGTGCTTAGAATCCCCAAACAGTACATTTTTAGCATCCTATTGTTCAAAGCAAGTCACAATGGAGGGGAAAAATGAACATAGTCTTCTTTGATTGCAAGGGCAAAAGGAATTATTTTCCCTTTCATGATGCCAGGCATCACTCCCAGGACCTCACACATGCTAGGCAAGTGCTCTACCACTGAGCTCTTCCCTACTCCTGAGCTGGGAGGAATTGTTTGTGGTCATATTTGATTAGCTACTCCCCTTGCTCCCCCACAGCTGGTTGTACCTTGAGCAGTCCTCTGACCTAAAATAACTGATCAGACTCTCTTGAGAACCTGATTCTCACAATTGGTCCAGAAATATGACTATAGGGTGAGCCAGGAAATATGTGTGCAGGGGAAGGGAGGAAAAAAGCTGTGAGAAACCACAAGGCCTCACATGAGTCAGAGGAGAGCCATACTGGCTTCCTCCACTCTGATTCTTGGATCTTGACTGTCAACTACAATGCCAATTGGAGAGATATTCCAAAGCATTATATTGTTGGGGCACTGCAAGGGAAATATGTGTGCCACAGTATGCTATGAGCATATTTGAGGAGGCTGAGCCAAGCTTTTATATTTTACTTTATTTTTGAGACAGGGTTTTACGATATAGTTCACACTTGCCTTGAACATACTATGCAGCCAAGGCTGCCCTCAAAAACATAGCAATCCTCCCAGCTCAGCCTCCTGAGTGCTGGGATTACAGGCATGCACCACCATTCCTGGTAGGAAGCTTTTAAAGGTGAAATGAGCTGGGAAGGGTGGTGTGCAAATATAGCCCTCACTACTCAGGAGGTTGAGGCAGGAGGATGGGTTGAGCCTAAAAGTTCAAGACTAATATGAGCAAAATAGCAAGAACTCTTGCCTCAGAAAACAAAAAGCAAGGCACACATGGTAGTACACCCCTGTCATCCTAGAATTCTGGGAAGCTGAAGAAGGAGGATCAGAACTTGGAGTACAGCCTAGATAAATTAGCTAATTTATCAAAGTAAAAAAGGGTTGGGATACGGGCTCAGCGTGAGGGCCCTGGGTTCAATCCCAAATACTGCAAACAAACAAAAAAAAAAACCAACATTAAACATGAAAACTGGGCAACCCACTTGGGACCTCCTCTTCTCTCTGACAGAAGCTTTCTTTCTCTCAATAAATATATTCTACTCTTTAAAAAAAAAAACATGAAAATCTCAAATTGTACAGAGGATTATGGGTCAATGGTAGAGTGTTTGTTTAGCATTCCTGAGGCCCTGGTTTTGATTCCCAGCACTGTGAAAAACAAAACCTCAACAGTGTGGAGGCATACTGACTGGTGTGTCACCTAAATTAACATGTTGTAATTATAAGGCCTTTCTTCTGGATTTTCTGGATGCAAAATCCTGAATGACTTAATTAAATCCAAACTTTAACCATTACTAGTGTCCCAAGTGAAGTTTCAGCTCCAAACACCATACATCATTCTCCATGATGCCCAGCATAGGCTCTAGAGTTAAGATAAGGATGTTCCCTGAATAAGTAAACGGTGGTATACGTTTTCCTTCCTTGAAGCCTGGGCTGACAACTTTCTGGGGAGGCAGCAAAACGGGAACCCACTTCATGCCAGCCACCCAGCGTGGTTCCTGCAGTCCCTCGATCTCCCTCGGATGAGATTTCCTAAAACAACTTTGGCCTTCTGATGGTGAGAACTTGCTATGTATCCTCAAACTTCATAGTTCCGTGTTGCCCTCTGCTGTCCAATAACCCAACGACCATGAGATTCTGCCACGAAAGGACTCAAGAGTTAAGTGACCAGTAGACTTCAGAAACCCTGGCATCCAAGGACTGATGTGACCCAATGTCAGACAGGGAACTACAATCAAATCACAGGGGAATTAATCCCTGGGTGCAGGAGCTAAAGGCCCAGGAGATTCGGTAACTGGGATCCGTCCACTAAGTGACTCTAAAACCTAGTGATCCCGTTGGGAGTCTTAGGGAAGAAACACTTCACTTAGGTCCCAGACTTTCAGAGTCAAGGGACTTTCGTAGAGAAACCTGCAGGATCTTACGACCTGAGCAGAGGAAAAGGAGGCTCAGCAGCCACAGAGCTCCGGCGCGCTCACCACAGGTGCTGCCCATAGCTCTATTGTCACTCAGCTGCGCCGCCACCGGCCCCTTAACTTTCATTGGTGCGTCCTCGGAAGCGTGGACCAATCAAAACCCTCTTCGTGTCTCCAGCCCCACCCTCCTACCCACCGAGACAGCAGGCTGGAGGCTGGTCCCCTCTCGTCACCCCAATGACAGTGCAGGTCGAGCGCCGCGCGGGCTCGGGATTGGCTGCTGCGTGCGGGCGCTGTCAGAGCCGGATTGGTCTTCTGGGGGAAGGAAGAGGACCGCGTCCGGCGCTGCAGGAGCCTGGCGGGGGCGATGCGGAGCGCGGGCTGCAGCGCGGCTGCTGGGCCGGTGCTGCTGGCGCTCCTGCTAGTGCTCTTGGTACCAGGCGGTGGTGCCACCAAGACCGGCGTGGGGCCTGTGACCTGCGGGTCGGTGCTGAAGCTGCTCAACACGCAACACAGGGTGCGGCTGCACTCACACGACATCAAATACGGGTCCGGTGCGTGGAGCCTGCGAGAGGCGATCGCCAGGGGGCG